CTGGATCATGTACTTTTCTTTCTTTGGACTTATGTTGGTTCGCACGGGCGGTGACTTGACTTTGTATTATATTATAGTTACCGTCTTTATGTTGGTGTGTATACTACTGTACGTGGGTTTGTAAACAGATACTTGTTTTCCGCTGCGTGTGTAATAAAATTAAATGTTTTTAAATTCCCGCTATTTTATTATATGGTTGAGCGTCCATGTGGCACAACTCGTGAGCGGGAGACGGGTTACGGGTGCTATAGCCGGACTTCGGAGGTGGCCGCTTGAGCGGGATTCCGTCCATCGGGTGACGCTCCATTCGCTGAACGCCTTGATCCATAAGCTTGCGCTCAATGTGCTTGATCTTATCTGGATTTCGAGTCTTCAATTCGAATTTCTCGATCCGTTTCATGCCATCTTCGCTGCGGTGCTCCGCCTTCAGCACCACCGTGTTCTTCTTCTCGTCCACCGACACCGTCTGCATCGATCGTCAATCCCTACTTCACTCTGCTTGTTGCGTTTGCGACTTGAAGCTTCTTTCAACAATTACGGCGTTTTGGGGGAGAAGGGCGATTGTATATATAGAGCTCTGAGCAAGAAGATTCTAGCAACTGCATGTGGCTTTCTGGTAGCTTTTAGAAACCTCTCCATTTTTTTTGGACAAACTAAAAAAAATCTCCAAATTTTCTAATTTCACCAAAAAAAAATCTTATACTTAGAATCAATCATTAAAAATTATCAACTATTAATTTTTGAACAAAAAACACCATTAACTATATAAAATTTTTAAGAAAATTTTTCACTTTAAATTTGTTATAAAAAATCATCAATTATTAATTTCTATAAAAAAAAATTAATTATCTATCTACAAAATATTTTGTTTTAAAATTTATTATAAAAATTTATAAAATTTAAAGAAAAAACATATATAAATTATATAATTCTAAAAATCACAATAAAAACATAATATTTATTTAAATTTATTATATCATAATATTTAAAATTTATATAAATATTTGTAAATGTCAAATTACATTTAAAATTCATTATATTTTATTGGTTATAAATATGAAATTTAAAATTTTATTATATGTTATTATTTGGTAGGTTGTAAATTGAGTACATTTTATTGGTTATAGGTTTCTATATTTAAAATAGAATGTGTTTTGAAAATTTCAAATAGTTGATAATTTTTTATTAAAATTATTTTATAAATCTATCAAAAAAATTAAAATGATAATTTGTAATCTCTATAATAATAATATATAATAGAATTTTAAATATAATATTTACAACCAATAAAATATACTTAATTTATAATTTATTAATATTAATATACACTTTTTTATATTTTAATAAATATTTTTTTTATTAAAATTAATAATTGATGATTTTTTATAACAAATTTAAAGTGAAAATTATTTTTTAAAAATTTATATAGTTAATAATTTTTTTATTCAAAATTAATAGTTAATGGTTTTTTATGATGAATTTTAAGTAGAAGGTTTTTTTGGGTAAGTAAAAAATTTGAAGGTTTTTTTGGGTTTGTCGCTATTTTTTTAATTTTTTTAAAAGTTTCTATTTTTTATTTGAGTTTTGCTTACGTGTCATAAATATCTTGTTAGAGGCGGTTGCTCTAAATGGGCCTTATTGGGCTAATAAGTGGGTCGTTAAGGTTGGCGAAGGCGACGGCTGGGGCAACGGGAGGAGAAAGCCGTCGAGAAGTTAGGAAAGAAAGAGAAGGGACTGTGACGGAATTATAACGACTCCGTTAAACGATGCCAGGTTGGGCATCGTACCTAGGAAGTGGACGCGCGTGAGAAGCGTTACGGCCGTAGATGATCGCCGTTAGCTGAGTGTGAATACCGTTATGGTCACACCTACTTATCCGATTTGGGTTCGGTTATTTAATATTTAGAAAAATTATATTTTTATATTAAATTCGATTCAATTATATACTATTTGAATTCGATTTGATTATAAAAAAAATACTCATTTTTTAAGAAAATTTACTGTTTTGTTATTTTTATTCATTTCGATTCGAATTCGATTTTTTTATATCATAACCATTCAATTTTAAATACGGTTATTGGATTTAGATTGGTTCAATTATTCAATTATTAACCAAATAAATAACCCTTTTAATAATCAATATTATTATCTTTTTGTGTTTCGAAGCTAATATGTTTTTGTATTTGTTAAAACAATTTCTTATATATAATTATGTTTAGCAGAGAAAACACCCGTGAAACTCATAAAATTACACTAAATTTATGGATTGTAAGATTAAATTATGATAAATAAAAATTTAATCTATTTGTTAAGTATACATAATAAAACGGATAAGTTTCTCAATGCTACAACAAAGAAACTATTATGAGGCTAAATTAAAATTCCTACCATGAACCAAAACTACTAACAAAACCTAATTCTCAATAACAAACCTAATTGCAACCCAATGCGAACCATGTTATGATCGGATCACGACCCGGAACCCGGTCCGACCCGTTTACCCGATTCGACCCGACTGAAGCCCCAACTCCATTCCCATGCGGCGGAGGAGGAGCAACATGCGCTCGTTCTCAAGCCTTCGCCTCTGAATCTGGAGAGTCGTCTTCTCCATTTCCCTCTCCTTCTTACCCTTAAACCTAATCCATTTCAGTCTCTGCTTCTCCATCTCCACTCTTCAATGTCAACACGCGCCACTCCCTCCGGCGCTCCACCATCTTCATCTTCATCCACTCCTTCTTCTCCTCCATCGCCACTTTCCCTGCTTCCTCCATTAACACAGTCACCGCCATTGATTCCGACGCTCTCTTCCTCCGTTTCCTCCCCACCTCCTCCGACGATTCGTCACCACTCTCCGAATCTTCTGCTGTTTCCGGCTCCGATTCCTCCGCCGCCGCCGCCGCCGCCGCCGCTGGATGGAAACAGCTCTGCGTCTGCGTTTGCATTTGCGTTTGCGGTGGGTCGGCGTTTAGATGGCCGCAGCTGTTGTGGTAAGCGCACATCTCGCGGAAGAAGAGGTGTTTGGAGTGGAGGAGCTTCTTGACTTCTTCCTTCAGCTTGAGAGGAATATCCATGGCGTCGAGCAAGCCCTGATTCTCCACGACCCGACAGGCTGTTCCCTTGCCGAGCATGTCGTTCACTCTCTTGTACCTCTTGTTCAAATCGTTGAACTTGTCTTCGCACTGTTGCGGCGACACGTAGAACCCTTTCTCCATCATCGCTCTCGACACCGATTTCCACTTCCCTTTCTTCTGCACCATCCCTCCGCCGGCGGGGGAGGAGGAGGAGAGCCTCTTCTTCGCCGGGTCGGCGGTGGGTTCCGACGAGCCAGCTTCGTCGCCCATGTAGAAAACCGCCATTATCAATAGCTTCACCATCGTGTCCGTCCATTTCACCCTCTGCCACTGCGAGAATTTCCTCTTCCCGTTGGCTCCAGCGCCGTCTTCCGGGTTGTACCCTGACCCGGGACCCGACCCGTGTTCGTCCTCGTCGCTAAGCGACGATGATTGTTTGGGTTTCGAGGCGTAGAGGTACGGTGACGGTTTCACCGGCGGCTGCATCTGCATCTGGTAGTGGTGCTGCTGATCACCGCCGCCGCCGCCATTATTTCCGGCGTAAGAAACCATCTGGGCGTGCTTGAACTGCATCGGGTTCTGCGGCGCTTCCAAGCTTAACATTTGATTCCAATCAAATCCAAAATGCAAGAAGATGAAAAATTTTGAACGATTCAGACAAACCCAGATCCTAAGAAATCGGATTACCCACTACCGAGAGTTTCCAAATCAGATTAAAAGATTGTAAAGGTTACAACTTTTTCAGAAGCGACCAAGAACAACGACAGAAAACAATTCCCAGAATAATCAACGAAAATGATGAAATTCCTTCAGATGATATATATATATATATATATAGAGAGAGAGAGAGAGAGAGAGAGAGAGGAATATACAGAGAAACAGAGCAGCCGGTTTTGCGTGTGGAGAGCACGAGTACAAGCAAAACTGCCCATGGTTTTGAATTTTACTTTTATTTTCCTTTTTTTTAAATTTTTGGGGGTTTAATTGTAATTGAAATATTTAAACATTCTATAATCACCTAAGCCTTGGGATGTGGGGGTAAAATCCAGTTGCTGGTTTTGGGAAACTAGCCTGGCTTAGTTTTGTTTTTAGATAAACTAAAAAACAAAATCTATCATCAACTAGTTCACAAAACTTATTACAATATAATGAATTTATATCAATATTGTTTTTTATTTTGATTTTTAGAATTGTAGATTTTATATATATTTCTCTTTAAATTTATAGTTTCTTCTAATAAACTTAATATATAATTATTTAAATAATTTTTTTTATTAAAACTAAAAGTTGATGGTTTTTATAACATGATTTTGGAATAAATTACATAATTAATAGTTTTTTATTGATAAGTTTTTATAACAAATTTAAGATATATGGTTTTTTGTTGTAAACAAGATAGTTGATGGTTTTATTTTTAATTTATCTTTTTAGTCTTGGGGTACTCTTATTTGGATATTTCCATATTTATTTTTTTAATATTTATTTGGTTTTATGTTATCAATTACCAATTTAGTTTTTATTTAAAAAATGTTTTACTTTTTCAATTATTTTATATTTGTTTAAATGGTAGGGATTTACAACCATTTTGTATATTCATAAATCCGAAAAGGACAAGTAAAAACACATCAAATGATAAAACAAGATATAATAAAATACGATTTTACATGAATTTAAAATTTTCTCTCTCGTAAAAAATATTCGATTTTAAAAATACGTGTGTATTATAATGAGCGTATAAAAGTCAAATGGTCTAAGACTCTAAAACAAGGACTGGCGTTGACGGCGTTAAATAATTGCTTAAGGACTTATGAAATAATTCTGAAATACGAAATTAATATATATATATATATATATATGTCGTGTGTGGGTTAAACTAATTTATCTTATCACATGTTTTCTTGATTACGTATTATATCTCTTATTTAATAAATAATTATCAACCTTACCCACCAATCAACCTAATCTTTACACTATCCTTTTCCACTCTTAAATGCATTAATTAATTCCTCGACTCTTATTTATTTATGATATTTTTTCTCCCCCAAAATGTAAGAGTAAATGTATTTTTTTTCTTCTGTTTTTAGTTAATTTCATATCCAATATTTTTAAAGAACCCACCAATTTGTACAATGGATATTAATATTGAAACCAGAATCTTGTTGTTATGGCAAGAAATTTTCCTCAAGATTATATAATTGAATTGTAAGATATAGATTAAGAATGTCAAAGAAGAAACCGGATCGTTTTAAATTCGGTTCGGTCCGATTTGGTATACAACAATTCTTTTTTGAACTCCGTCTATTTTCACCAATTAGAAAAAAAAAATATTTCTTTTGGGTGCAAATCGTATTAGATTCGTGAACCGGTCCCTTTGACGCCATGACTACCATTTATCTATATACTTATAATGGAAGAAATTAATACATTTGGAATGAGGTTGCCAGTTGTATAAAAATTAAAAGAAAAAACTAACAAAACTTAGAATTTGTTAGAAATAAAATTTAGATTTTTTTTTTTTCAAGTCGAAGACAAATCTCGTTAATAGATCCCAATAATGAAATTTTTTCCAAATTGCCTCGTCACTTCCATTATATACATGAAAAAACTAAGCATTTACTTGTAAAAGGAGAGGTTTTAGGTAACCATGACTCCAAGACTCGTAGCTTACAAGCTTTCCAAAGCCCCATTCAAACTCAAAACTCCCATCCAAAGTCTAAGTATATAAGGATGTTGGCATTCTTACCAGTGTATAGGAGGAGATTCAAAGACCCTCAAAGTATAATCTAAACCTAAAAAGTTCCTTATTCCCTTTGCTCAAAAGTATCAACCTATACAGCTACCGAGTTAATTAACACAACATTTCGACTACTCGATCATCAAGCGAGCAATACGAACTAGCGAAATGTCTATGACTAGAAACAAATAAAAGATAACTAAAGGATCGATCGATCGAGATTTTCATTGCCAATTACGGTCTCGAACATAAGAAGCACAACTCGAAACCATCCTAGACCTAAAATAGGTAGACATCACAAACCATGGACACGAGAGAGAGAGAGAGGGGACTTGAGAACCATGGCTGCTGTTGTACTTGTAGTTGTTACTCCGTCATCGCTGTCAAAACAAAAGAGGCAAAAGAAAGAGCATTTTACTCAAATGACCCACTCGGATCGCATCTATTTCATAGGTATACCCTTAAAAACAAAATGTATTAAAATTATCTCTTTAAAATTTGAAATGACCACATTACCGTTAATGATTCCAATGTGTGATATTTTAGATACGTGTAATTTATTCACTTAAAAAAAGTTGTAATTGCGATGTCATAATTAATTCTAAATGAAGTTATAAGTGATTCTAAACGAAATGAGAAAAAAATTCATCTGTCAAATTTAAAAAATAATCACGATTTTTTGTGCACTTTCAACTCACTATATGGTCATAAATATTTCTTATTCTAGTCGTATGCTAGTCGCAATATAGATCACAAAATTGATTGTCTAATAATAGGAAAAAATATGTCTATATTTTGTATAATTTATTTTAACTTTTTATTTCTAATATTTGTATTATTGAAAAAGAAGAGAGGATTAATTGTGACATGTATTTTAGACCTTTTAAAAAAAAAGTGGTATATAAATTATTAAAAAAAAAATCACCTTTTTATATGGTGTATATGTGAAATAGTTGTGAATCAAGTATATCATTTAAGTAAAATCCCTAAAAGATAAACCCTAAAGGCTAAACAAGTTTAGGGTTTTGGAAAATAATTGCAATAATTTTACAGAAGGATTTACGAGAGTATTTGTATACAAAGTTGTTAGGAGGACAGTGGTTTGGTCAAGACATCGGTTAGTTGGTCGACCGAGGAGACGTGAGCAATGCGAAGTTTGTGTGCGTGAACAAGCCCTCGGATATAGTGGTAGTCAATGGTGACATGCTTTATCCGATAGTGAAATACCGAGTTCGCCGATAGATATGTGTCTACGTCATCACAGTAGATGACAAGCATGGTGGGGAGAGACACTGAGCTCAGAGAGAAGTGATAGCAGCCACTGTACTTCTGAAGCCGTGCTGGAAACATACTTGTACTCAGCTTCGGTAGAGGATTTGGCCGCAAACCGTTGCTCCTTGGAGGACCATGACACAGGGTTGTAATCAAGGTAGACAATGTAAGCTCTGGTGGATGTAAAATCATCTCGGTTCCCACTCCAGTCAGCATCGAAGTAGGCATGGAGGGACAAGGGAGTGGAGGTAGATAGGAAGGTGTCTAGGGTGCGTATGTCGGTAAGATACCATAGCACACATTTCACGACCTGCCAATGCTCCGTTGTCGGTTATTGACGGGGAAGGCGATGTCTGGTCGGGTGAAGAGGAGATATTGAGACTGCCCAAAAGTTATCGGTACTTGGTGGGATCATCAAGATATATCCCGGAGTTAAGATGTACCCCCGAAATGGATGGCATCGACATCGGAACTGGCTTCGCCGAAGCTATGTTATACCGAGAGATAAGGTCTGTGATGTAACAGCGTTGAGTGAGCAAGAGCCCATCCTATTGAGTGAACAAGACCACAACATTTATGTCCGCCACAATCTCCATGCAGCAGCGGAGATTGTGGCGGGGGGCC